TAATTTTATATTTAAAATGACTGACAATGTTTCATTATAAAAAAATATATTTATATTTTTTAACATTTTTTTCCTAAATATTATATTTGATTAAAAACTTATTGTTTTTTGAATTCTTAAAATCGTAATAATTTTTATTGAAGATTTAATTGTTCTGATTATTTAATTTGTTAGCAAAACTTATTATTATTTATTTAATAACAAACTTTGCATATAAATTTTTGGTAATATAAATAATATTAATAATAAGAAACATTTACCCTAATATTGCTTTTAAATAATATATTGTTCAATATACAAAAAAATCATAATTTTTTTAAATAATTATTAGAAATATTTGGTTACCGAGTGTTAAATTTTTGAAAAAATTGTTTGAAAAATTTTTGTTTGAAAAATTATACACTAAACATATTTTAGGCAAAACTTTTAAATAATAATCGCATCGATGTTTTAGTTTTGAGGCTTTTTTAAAAAATGTAAATTATTGTAATTTTGTGGCTAATATTTATATTAAATAAAATGTTAGCAATTTTTTGCTTAAACGCCTAACTATTTATTTATATGAGATAAAAGGCTTTTTAGAGAAATGTTTTCAATATATTTGTTTGTAGTTTTTGTTAGATTTTTATATATTTATATTTTGAATACAAAAAACATTAAGTTTTTAATGTTATTACAGTTGTATATTGCTATGTATGCAACACTACTTTATATTGTTTCTCATTTACTCAGTTTGTTTGAATATTATAGAAAAAGTGAGTCTTATCGCCAAATAACCAGAAATGATGATAAAAATAGAGTTAAATTAGTGACTATTTTTGTTAGAAATATCATATAAACTGTATTTTAATGCTTTAGTGTTTGTAAGAGTGCTTTCATAACTGTTAGGTATAAGCTATCAAATGAGGTCTCATTTTGTATGTCTCTCTCTCTCTCCCTCTCTGTATGTTTTTCCCAGCGATCTCTCGATATAACGAAATGGTCTGAAATAATGTCTAAAATATAAAAAAGAAAATAATAGTAAAATAATGATAAAATTAAACAAAACAATACAAAAATAATATAATAAGACATACCAACAAAAGTTTTAGATAAACATAATCACCAATAAATGAGTGTAAAAACCAAATAAAATCATAACAAAATAATTTAATAAAAAAAATTAAAAAAAATTAAATCAAATAAACAAATTTGTGATAAAAATAATATTATTATTGAAAATATCATATTTGAACTTTTATAATAATAATAATAATAATATAACAAATAAAAACATTTCGTGATATCATTTATATGCAATTCTTTATAACAAATTTTTTAATAAATAAATATATATCGTATATAATAAATATATATATATATAATAAATAAATATAAATAAATAAATAAATAAATAAATACAAATAAATATATATAATATTGTATTTAAATATACTGTATTTATCATCGCATTGCCTTAAATAAAGTGCCACAAAAATTATTATTTAAATTCTTGATTTTAAAGTGAATTCTTATGATTTTTTGTTAAGAGTAGTAAATATGAAATATAATACTGTATTTAACAAATTCTTGTGTGTTTTCAAAAATATGTCTATTTTGTGTATTTTATTATTTTTTTCTGTCATTTTGATAATTAAATGTAAATAACTATATATTATATTTTTCTATCATTTGACAAAAACATAATTTGATGGCAATACATAAATTTTCTAAAATAAATAAATTTGTTGAAAACAATAAAAATATAAGTTAGCATATAATTTAACAATTAACAAATGTTTGTTTGCTATTATATAATATTTAGATATAGTTGACTCTTCATTTTATTGTTCATTTTAAAAAGTAATAAATTACTTAAAATAATAGTTTATGTAATAAAAAGTGTAAAATAATAGTCTTTTTGTGTAATATATAAAAATATATTTATAATAAATATTGGCTTTAAATGGCCAATAACTTATTGAATCAAATATAAATAAAGCAAACATTTAGCTAAACATAAAGTGGATTAAAATAAAAATTTAAAAATTATTTAAACAGTATTTGTTTAGACAACATATATGATAGTTAGTCTATTTAATAAAATCGACAGATAATTAAATGACATATTTGTGTTAATTATTATCACTAAATATAATAATATGTGACTTAAATGAATACTTCACCAAAAAAATGTTTTAAAAAAAACATTTTAATGATGGTATTGACAATTGTGCACAAATCACTAGAGAGTACTCATACCGTATTTTTTAATAAATAAATATTTAATAAATTTGCTAATAAACAAAATTATTTACTAAATTTAAAAATGAGTTAACTAATTAAGCTAGATTTTAATTAAATTTCAGTATCATTTATAAATATAAATAATTTTTTAATTAACCACAATTGCAAATGACTAGTTTTGATGTCCTGTCAGGTCCTCAAAAGTGTGAGTTTTTTTTGTTTTTAAATTAATCTTTATAAATATTATTATAAATATTGTGTGCAAATGTAATATTTAATTAAATGCTGTAATATATAGCTGTATAATTAAAATGTATAAAAATGCTTTAATAATAAAAATATATAAATATTTGAAATTAATTAATTGAAGAGATGTTGTAAGTCATGCATCAATTTGTGACTTCATTAGACTAATGGAATTATCGCCAAAATTTTGTCTCTCAATTCACTATCAAAAGCAATACATTTAAGCATTTAAGACAATAGCTTAACGTTATAATTATATGTTAAGTATATGTTAATGTTATGGATCTAACATTTAATTGAAAATTATATTCAATGAATTGATTTAAATATTAGGGGCCACAGAGAAAAACAACATTGAGATACAGTTACGAGAGATAAAGCCGTGAATTTTTATTTTATTTAAATTAAATAAATAGATAAATAGTAATTATTTAATCAATGATTAGACAAGCAATTGGTTGACTCTTTATCTGTTATTTTTTATAAATGTTGTGATTAATTGAGATAAAACTCACTTTCAATTAATACTATAATTTGCAATTTTATGCTTGAGTTTTACTGACAGTGTTATCAATTTGGTGTATCACTGGGCGGGAGTTTTTTAAATATATTATCTATAGTATTACTTATACAAACTATAAACGTTGTCAAACAGTTTAATCTAAATGTTATATAGATATGGATTTAAACAAACGGCTTATTTATAAGTTATTTTTTGTTTTATCATTATACCAGTATATATTGTATATATATATTTATAAATTAATATTTAAATAATAATCATATATTGTAGTAATCATATAATGTAGTTATTGTTATTGTCTGCTCGTCGTATGAAAAACTGTCAACGAGTTTGTGTTACAATATATAATATTATTTTTTATATAATGAGAAAACAATAAAATAATTTATTAAAATTGCTATTTGAGTAAATACATATATTTTACAAAAAAAAAATTTAGCATTTAATTAATTTAAATATAAAGCGATATCAAAACAATCAAATGACTAGAAATTTTAATAATTTTTACTACTAATAAAAATTAGAATAATGACAATAATATTAATATTTATGATAATAATAATAAGTATTGTCTCTTCTTTTTGTTAAAGACTTATTTTTATAAATATAAGTAAAGCTTAATTACATATAAAATTTATGCAAAAACAATGACTTTAGATTGAGTGTATTATTATTATTATTATTATACACAACAAAAACTAGTATAAGGAATATATTAAATATAATAATAAAGAGTAAGTTATAATATAGAGTAACAATAATAGTAATAATAGAAGAATAAGAATTGTAATTGAAATGAAATTCATATACAAAAATCATAATATTATATAAGAAACAGTATTTATAATATAAGTTGACTCGACATGAATTATGTATGCCTTACACAATATAAGAATATATAAATATATACTAAATAATAATAATAATAATAATAATAAAGATATAGAAATGTATTTATAAACAATGACTCACACAAACAGATAACAAATTTTTATAGTCAGTAAAGTAATGGTTGTTTGCTTTCACTGATTATTCTAATAAAATAATGTCTCAAAAATTATATGACACACTGTTTTTGACATTTTTATAAGTTATTAATTTTACTGTTATTATTGTTGTTTTTATAAGTAATTGTCTCATATTATTGTTAACATTAAGAACTAGTCTTTTTCTTTAGACTTAAAATTTTGTATTAAATCACTTTTTAAAATTTAGTGTCGATATAACAGTGGCTTTTCTATTGTTTTGCACTGTTTTTAGTGATGTTTTTGTCGGTGTTATTGTTGTCACAAACAAATAGATATTATATATGTTTGATATATAAAAATATCTGTATTTCTCAGACATTGTAGCCGTCGAGGCGTTTAAATCGATCGATACTTTCATTCACTATATATTAAATAAGAAATTTTTCTGTCCTTTTCTTTGTAAATATAACAGTATATATATATTATTTACTGTATTATAACTTAGTATTGTATATATATTTGATTTTATAATATAGAAGGTGTTTGACCCACCATAGAGTGTTTGTATTTGTAATAAATTTTATACTTATTTGTATATTTCATATTATAGTAATGTAAATTTATAATAAATATTATTATAAAAAGCATTTTAATTACTCTTTTCGAATAATTAGTTTTTTGCAGTTATTATTAAATTTTTGTTTCACTATTTTTAACTGCATTTTTAGTTTTACAAGACAATACTTGTAATATTTGTTAAGACATAAAACACTAAATAAAATACAATAATTTATAGATATCTAATGTATAATATTTTTGAAAAATGTTTTTTTTGGATTTAAATTTGTTTGCTTTTTAAAAAATCATTCAAAATAGCAATTTCACAAATATAAATAATAGTGTAATAATAATTATTATATATAAGGAATATTAAGAATAAGAATAAGTAAGAATAATAAGAATAGAGAGTAATTCAGTTAAAAATATAATATAATATTATATGAAATATAAGAATAATAATTAGTAGTGAATGCGGTTTTTAGATTATTATTGATATTTAAAAACTAAATTTTGGTGTTTGTTTTTGTTTGTTGTGTTTCATTAATTTATTATAAGTAGTAATATTAATATTAGTCAGTTTAGATGGTAGTGTATTGTTATGTGTGGTGTTTTAAACTGATTTTAAGATGTTTTGCATTTATTAGTCTTAAAAGAGACCTGTAATACACGGTTGCCGAGAGTATAGCCATTGAGACTCTGAATGGCAACCAATGACTCGTCATAGTTAGTCATCGTAACGAATCCAAATCCCTTGCATTTGTTGGTCTGTAAGTCGCGGATCACTTTAACCGACTGAACGGCACCGAAGGGACCAAACAGTTGCCATAAAAGAGATTCCTCGGTATCGGGAGCCAAGTTGTACACAAATATACACCAACCGGCGCCGTTGATTGTGGCGTTTGCCGCCAACAACGGGTTTGTCAACAGATCACCGGCTAATGGAGAGTATCTGTTCAAACAAATTATGCATTTTATCGTTAATTTTTCATTACTTTTTTACATGTCTTTGTGATTGATTTGTTTTTAATTTTAAATTTATAGTAATTAATTATAATCAATATGTATATATAACATATAATCACAATAAAGTGATCCATAAATTGCATTATAATAATAATTAAATAATAATAATAATAATAATAATAATAATAATAATAATAATAATAATAATAATAATAATAATAATAATAATAATAATAATAATAATAATAATAATAACAATAATAATAATAATAATAATTTTAGTAATAATAAATAAACTATAAAAGTAATATAAATTAATAATAATAATTAATAAATAAGTCACCTTTCGGTTCGCCAGAAATAATGGGTAAAAATAAATTTGAATTTTATATGGAGGATAAATGAAATTTTTTCATATCATGTATTTTCATATATATTGCAATTAATATTTAAAATTTCAATCAATATTTAAATAAGCAATTTATGAGATATGATATTAAATAAACTGAAATAATGAACTAAAAATAAAATGTATTTATGTTATGTTATGTCGCGTGTTATCATTCAAATAAGTCTGGGTTGTGCTGACCCTATATATTATATTTATTGTATGTATGACTGCATTGGATATATTTATTATATTAGTGTAATGTATGGAGTAATGGTCTGTCTGTCTGTATTTTTATGTACATAATATTTTACTTTCAATTTTTTTTATAAATATTTAATTAATTACATTTTTCTTTAACATTATTAAAGTACTTTAAGATTCATATTTTTGCTCACATTTTCAATAATTTTACTTAATGTAATTTGAAATAAATGTTATTAAATAGCATCACTTTTTATTGATTTTAAATGTGTAACACTTTATATAATAGTTAGCATTAGAAAAGTTAATGGGTCGAGTGTAACATTGTATTTAAATGAAAATTTAACTGACATTATATAATATTAGCAATTTTAAGATTTAGTTTACAACAATAAATAGACTTAAAGTTTATTTATTTATAATAAATAAATTTTTATATATTTATTATTTTACAATACTTATAACCAAAATAATAATAAAAAAGTTATTTTGATTATTTACTAATAAAGTTTCAAATTTAGAAAATACTATTGACTTTTAACTTCAAAATAATCTAAATTAAAAATATTTTATTATAATTAAGTTTTTTCATTAATTTAATAAATAAATAATATTTAGTAGATTTTTATAACTAAATTAAATTTACATAATAGTGACATATGAGAGAACAAATTGATTATAATATATTTACATATTTAATTTTTACTTTATAGTTTTAATTTAGACAAATATCACATAATGGATATAACCGGTAAAATTTTTAATATCTTTATAAAATAAGTTTATGCTTATAATAACTGATTGGTATTAACATAATAACTCATTCAATTCAATGAGTATTTAAAATTAGAAATGATGCGATTTTCTATTGAAGATATTTGTATATTTTAGATAAACATTATTTATTTATGTTTGAATATTTGGTAGCAAATATTTTTATATATAATTATAGTGTAAAATGTTTAATTTATTTAAAGCAAATGTTTGCCAAAAATGTCAATGATTAATTTTGTTTTGGGTTAGATCTATGCTAAATTAAATTATATAAACATCCTTTTTAACGTTTAATATATAAATCGCAATCATAATTATATTATCTACAAATTTAAACAATATTTATGATTTACAATTTTATAATGTTATTCTAATCCTAGTTTAACTTATATAAAAAATAAAAAATTCATTCAATATTGTCATATATTACAAAACATCTTAAAATATAATGTAGTTGTCTGGGAATTACCTTAATTTCAGTGTTTCATTGATAAGATTAGATGAGAGGGTAAGTGCAAGTGTGTATTGCATTCAAGATAAGAGTTAAGTGTATTTCACTGCAAACACTTATAATTATAAATAATTTTAATTGTATTTTGCATTAAATGTTTGTGACATAAGAGCCTTAGATAACACTTAAATTAAACGCTTTGGTACCGGAAAGTCCACTAAAGCGTATAAATAGTAGAAAAAACAAAATTATTATTTAATTAAAATCTAATGAGAATTGTTTGCTATTTCTGATAATTTGTTTATTAAAAAAATTCAATAAAATTATAATATATACATTATTGTATACATTATTGTATATCATTAATTTTTTTATTAAATATCGAATTCATTATTTTTTACTTATAAGATCTAATAAACTATACACAAAAATATTTTATAAATATAATAAGCAGACAGACATAAATTATTTTTTACAAAAATCTAATGAATAACACATTAAGTAATTTATATTAAGCTTTTTCACTGGATATGCCTCAATGATCACTGATTTGTAATGATATAACTGTCATAATTATGTATTTGTGTGATGAAGTGAGACTACCTATAGTTAGTTATAAGTGTTGTCATATGGATGATATGTGTTTAATATATTTGGTGTGGGGATGTTTGGTTGCTATTATTTATTACCCATACCTGGAGACCGGTGACATAGGTATGTACCTGAACCGATTGGCCGGATGGTGAATGGGACCGGCGAAGCGGCGCTGTGGAGACAGGTAGGCGGCCAGTGGTGCCAACGCTTTTGCATTATTACTCGGATTATTGGCAAACTTGACGGTAATGGGTTCGGTAGAGCCCTCGGGTATGGTATTGTGCAAATGCTTTATAGCCCGTTCAGCTTCTATACGCTGATCGTACCGCACAAACCCTACTCCTTTGGACAGACCTGTAGACGAACAGACTTCAGCATAGAGGGCACGATCTATAGATAAGATTTAGATCATGAAAAATATAATTACTAATTAAAACAACATTAACAACATATCCAACAAATCATACATCAGTCATACTATACATTCACATAGTATATCATTTTTGTCACATTCATTATATAACATTCAATTAATATACCAATAAATCACTTCTTATATTACAAATAACTCAATCAACAATTATCTTTAGTTTTGAAATACTTATAAAATAAAATATTTTGCAGTCAATGCATTAAATAATACAATATCTATAGTTTTATAAAACAATTCAATTATAGTAATATAATAACGTATTTAGCAAATACTTCCAGTATATCATAAAGATAATAGCAATAATAATTTACAGACAAATATAAATTATATAATTTAAAAAAGATAAGAGTATTCATAATATGGTTTTAGATATAATAATAGCATATCATATGACATATAAGATATTAAATGAACATATGGTTAGGCATTACCTGTGATATTATCACAGAGAATACGAGATGTAATGATACGTCCGTATGGGGTGAACAGGGATTCCAGTTCTTGTTGTGTCATCGCTTTTGGGATACCACTCACATAAAGGTTGGCCCCCTTTATGGCTTCACTGCTGGGTCGGGCAAATGAGACCTAACCGTCAAATATATATAAGTTATTAGTCAAACTAAATCTTTATGCATCTCTACGGGACTAATGCATTAAAGGGCCAATAGAGTCGTCAATTATAAACAGTTTATCCATTATAAAGTGTGCATTAATGTATAGTATAATACACTATGTTTGACATTTTATCAATAACATATGTTTTAACTAACTGAATAAATTTTATAATCGTTTTTTTTAACTAACTTGTGAGTATTATTATTAACAACAATTTATACTTTTAAGTTACTAAAATTGTATAAATTTTATTTGCACTTATTTATTCTGTATTTAATGAATAAATAAAACAAAGTCTATTAATATACAATTATTATTACTGTAAAATTAAAAGTAGTAATAAGCTATTCCTTTTAAACATACAAACTATTTTGAAACAACTCATTATACTATAAAATAATATTATTATTGAGATTACAGTTATATATGGGAAAACTACTATACAAATAACTACTACCAATTATAAATGAATTATTAGTTATATATTTATATTTAAATAATGATCATTTGTAAAATGTTTATTTATGTCCTTTTTATAATTGATTGTTTTATTTAAATAATATCCAATTAACGAAAGTAAAGCAAAATAAAGTAACAAAATATATGGTTTGTTTGATACAAACCTTAATGGTTTTGTTCTGTAGTCTCAGTCCATTCAAAGTAGTGATGGCTTTATCTGCATCTTCAGGTCGAACATAGTTTACAAAACCATATCCAAGACTTTGTCCTAAAACATCAATTTTTAAAAATAATTTTAATATACATAATCAAAATGTATATATATAATCAAAATGTTTAGTTGATATATAATTATAAATGATTAGATATGCGAATCTATATATTATATATTGTATCATAGATTTTCTAAATTAGTCATCAATTGCTAGAAAAGGGTAGTTAAAGGAAAGGCAATACTTTTTTAAAAGAGAAAGTATAAGAGTTTTTGTCGGCAATTGTGGTCTTCGTGTGAATAAATCAATAGAAAATCGTTTGATTTACATCTCAGCGCAAAAACTATAAAACTATTGGCGTATTTGTTGTTAAAAAATAATTTTTACGATAACTATTGTTACATTTGAATGGGTGAGCGCCAGCACATACCAGTTCCCTCTATTATTATTTGTTAAATGTGCTCTTATAATGTCTATGAAAAAGAAAACTATAACAAAAGCTTATATGGTTTATGTAGAAGCAAACATATAGACAAGCAATCGCCTAATCAATGGGTGCAATGGTTGGGGCAATGCTCGTGCCTCAGTGCCAGACGCGCGCGTGCGAGCAATACATACACTACCAACACTACACCATCAGCACAACGGCTTATATGCTATACATCAACATAACAGGCGATTCAGTATTTCAATAGACAATATGTAAATGCAAATCAATTGACGATATGGTGTGTGTGTGTGTGTGTGTGTGTGTGTATCACAGCTGCAGATCAGCTGCAACTCAGATAACGAGCAAACACAGGGACTTTTTGGGTCAGACTATGAAATGGGGTTCCCTTTTGACTAAAATTATGAAATTTTGGCAAAATATATGGTTAAAGCAAAACAGACTAAAACATTAATATTACATAACGCACAGCACCGGTATTTTTATCAATCGTTTTGTATCCAATATATAGCAATCATTTTCATTAATAAATTTAATAATAGCATTAATAGACAACAAAACAAAACATTAATCGTTTAAAACAATGCCATAGTTTTCATTTGCAAATGATTTGTGTCTCAATGTCAACGACTTATTCATTATATAATTAGTTAATTTATTTTTATGTTATATTATTTTTGTTATATTTATTCAAACTTTGGTCTCTAGAGTGACACATAGATTAATAAATTTATTAAATTATATATTAGTTTATATAACTTTATGCATAATATTAATGAAAGCAAACCATAATTTTAAAAAGTAAGACTTAATTTCAAAAGCAAATTATACTAATTAATCAATACATATGAGACATGTGTGCTATTGAAATACAACACCAAAGATAGACCTGCCTTTCACAACACTGTATCACTGTTTTAGAAAGATATTCAATAGTCTCTCTCTCTCTCTCTCTCTCTCTCTCTCTCTCGTCTAGTATTATGTCATTTCTGATAATAATAATAATAATTTTCTTTTGAAATAAAAGATGAGTGCAAAACATGCGATACCTTTTGCAGTGAACTCAATATCTTACTATAAATAATAAATTTCATATCATACAAAATAATATATAAATGGTGATATAAATTATAATAAATTTAACAAAAATATAAACTATTTAATTAAGTAATGGATTAAAATAATATTTTTAATATTTCTTTTGATTATCAATCTCTTTGGTGACTAGTTTTATGTTTTGAAACATTTGTTCAGTAGTTTTTGGTTAAACCGACATTTCAGTGGTTAGTAATCGATAAATGAGTTTTGTGTCTAAAACTCATTGAAAAGTAAAGTTAATTATTTTAACTCTAATTTTGTTTTATTATAAAAATAAAGTAAATTATTTAATATAAAGACAAAAACACTAATTATTATATGAAAGTCATTAAATTTTCCCTTTGCTAAAGTCACCACAAAAAATATATTTTTCAAATTTAAAACAATTTTAAAAATAATTATACAATATGAATATAATTATTTTAATATTAAAAACTTTTAATAAATAAACTTTAAAATATCAAACTACTATAAATTTAAAAACAAATGAATATATTCTTGCTTTTATAGCATAAAATTATTCTAAACAATAAAAATTGATATGTTTTGCCAGTTTAAATATATTCATAAAGTTAATATAAATACAATTAATTTTTAAAAATAATCGCAATAAATCTAAATATAACTATATAAATAAATTTATAACAAAAATAAATTAAAAATGCACTAAAAGCATCAACAATTTGTGTAAATAATAAAATTTCAAATTAACGTTTATTTTGCATGTAAATTATTAACATTATAATTTTGTTATAATTATTCAAAATGTATTGAATTATTTATCTTAAAAATAATTGATATAAAAATTATATTTAAAATACTGTATTTTGTATGCTATAATTTATGATTTTGTAGTGCTAATAATATTTTTACTATTGTTTTATTATTTGATTAATATAAATGTCATTAAATAAAATCTTATTTTTCCATTATCTTTAAATCGACTGTAAATTTAATATATATTATTAATAAATAATCTAATATAAAATGTATTGATCTTAATAAATGTAAATAATTTTATTCAAAAACAAAACACACACACATATATATATATATATATATATATTCACACATAGACACTGCAAATTATCAATAATATAAATTATTTTACTTTAAATAATTATTAAAAAGTTAAATAATGCAAATTACCGGTGACTTTATCGCGGATCAGTTTACAAGACTCAACTTCACCAATGGATGAGAAGAGACTACGAATTTCTTCTTGAGTCATGGTTTGTGGTAAATAATTGACAATTAAATTGGTTTTTGAGTCTTCAGGATTGCCCAAAGACTGAACAGAAGAGTTGCTGTTATGAAGACTTCCGTTTTGAACGCTG